TACAGATGTTTTTCCTCAACGCTTGTATACTAGCATCTAGTAGAAATAGTGTTTGGTATATAATAGATGTTGAATAAATAGTTGTTGAATAAAGAAAAGGGAACAGCTTGGGGCAGTGGCACACATCTGTAATCTCTGAGGCTCAGGAGGCTGAGGCAGGAAGATCAAGAGTTCAAAGCCAGCCTCAGCAACTTAGCAAGGTCCTCAGCAACTCAGTGAGACCCTGTCTCTAAATAAAATATCAAAAAGGGCTGGGGATGTGGGCTCAGAAATTCAGTTCCCTTGGGTTCAATCCCCAGTACCAAAAAATAAAATAAAATTAAATTAAAAAGGCAAGGGAGAAGGAAAATAAATTGCTTTTTGTGAGGCTAATATGAAATAATGCTTTGAAGATTACTAGCATAACTCCTGATAGTCTGTAAGTAGTAATCATCATCATGATGATGAGAAAATTACAATGTTTGACAAAGAAGAGGAGATTGAAAAAAAAAAGGTTCTAAATGCCTATAACAAGACCTATATTCTTATTGAATTAAGCCTGTCTTTCTTAGGCCCCTTCTCTTTGCCATCCACAGTAAATCTCAGTCCATTGGTGCTGCTGTAACAAAATAGTGTGAATTGGATAGCTTTAAACAGAAAACAGAAATTTATTTCTTACAGTCTGGGAGTAGCGATGTCCAAAATCAAATTGCCCTCAGATTCCACGTTGATTCATAGATGGCGCCTTCTCTCTGTGTCCTCACATGGTGGAAAGCGGACAGGCAGCTCTCTGGGACTTTTTATCATATATTCAGTCATTCAGTAACCTATTGGTACTTGGGATCAAACCCAGGGGCACTTCACTGATCTGCATGTGCTCGCACTTCTAGTTTTTATTTTGTGACAGGGTCTCTCCAAGTTGCCCCAGCTGGCCAGGGACTTGCTTTGCAATCCTCCTGCCTCAGCCCTGAGTGTGGCTGAGATTCCAGGCATGTGCCAACACACCCAGCTCTGGGGATTTTTTTTTTTTTTTTCAGTAAGAGGTGCTGCCCTCATGATCGTCTACTATCACTTTGGGGATTAGGTTTCCACATAAGAATGTCGAGGGAACACGGACATTCAGACCTTAGCATGTAGCCTCCAGCAGTCACTTTGGGGCCACCTGAGTTTTGGCCACTGAGTCCATAGCTTTCGATTTCGGTGTATACAGGGGCTCAAGGTATGTTCAGAACTGGATATGAAATGAATGACACGAACATGACCATGACGGAGTGTTGTTGGGGGTAATGGTTCATAGAAGTGACCCATTTCCAATCCATATAACTAATTACATGCTAATTTTTATGTTCTTCTAGTTCCTAGGGTAAGTAATCATCCAGTCTTTGGCTGACACATTTGCCTCAGGGTAGAAGTAAAGCATTTTTAGAAACATTCCCCCCTCTCTTATATGTTATTGAGTTATGGAAATGCCACTAGTTGTTTTTCAGTTCCATGACTAAAGGGTTGCTTTTACCTTAAAAATGTTAGACAATTCCCTTCCTTTCCTTTTGAATATCAGTAGTATCAGTATAAAGGAGAATCCTACCGACTCCATGGACAGTTAAGGGGAGAAATTTGGAATGGTATTTATTAAATTTGTGGGAGTCCTTGATTATCAATTCTCCCTAGAAAAAGGGTTCCATTGTTCCAATCTCAAATCCACCTGTTACCAACTTTGAAACCCTGAACAAGTTACAAATAAATCCTTTCTGAGCTTGAATATCTACATGCATTGTACAGGATGTCTACAATAAATATACACTCGCATGTTGAGCAGATATACTCAGAAGACAGATGCTGTGAAAGAGGTAGGTGTGTGCCCAGCCCTCAGTTTGAAGTTTGGATACAAGGAAGAAGGATGGAAGAGGTTTCTTCTCCCCATCTGAAAGAATTGGTGAACCTGAGAAATTGTTCTCTACTTTTGGATCAGCTGTGGAGGAGGCAGACATGGGGAAAGAAAGATTCCTTAGACTGTCCTTTTTTTCCACCATCTTGGATTTTGATGGCAGGCTCGACAATAAAGGTAGGAATGAGCCTAGAGTCTGAAAATCAAGGAACCAGAGATAAAGAAAGAAACCCTCTTCTGAAATGTTGTTAACATGGGGAGTAGCTGCTGTGCTGTTTTTGTCTTGCTAGTACAATGGAAACACACACACACACACACACACACACATATACAGGTAGCCATTGCTTAGTATAATGTTAACAATTTCCCTTGAGCAGAAACAACTTAGTGTGTATTTATGCCCAAGAAGAAATCAACGAGAAAAAGGACATTGCTTTGGACTTGAGTGTTGTGCTTTATGAAAGAAAGTATTTTCTCCATGCAGACCAGACCCAGTATGATAGTTGCATTTTCCTATATTGATACCATTGGACATTATTCAGTTCTTGAAATACTGAAGAGGCTTCCTATATAGTCTTTGCTGTAATACCCACAGTACGGGCTGAGCTTCTACACCTGCAACCTCATGCCAGAGTTGCACCAGAGACAGAAGTGAGGACATCCATGGGTAGAGAGGCAGAAATGGAGCTCTTACAGGATTTTCATTTCATAGACAAAAATGGAAAACAAAACTAAGTAGGCTTGCAGTACCACTCAACTAACTGGAGGTAGGGGCCAGGTACCCTGATCACATTTGCTATTAAAACTGAGAAGGGATCTGTGTTTGACCTCTAGGGTATAAGAATTCCTCCTCTTAGGGCTTTTCTCTGGACCCCTCATCAGCACCCCTGGACAGGGGGATGGTGACCAGTACTTACCATCTTCTTTGGCATTTTATCTGAGCATATCATCTTCAGATCACAGAGCTACTTTACTTTTAGCTAAGAGAGAAGGTGTCTTAGACCAAACTCGGGAAACAGAGGGCTTTCCAATCTCCAGGAGGCAGCATCAGTCAGTGCCCATAAATAGGGCTTTGGCAAAGACACAGAATGAGATTTTAAAGAGAAGCCATTGAGTCATACTTGGACAACTGGCTCCTACCAGATCAGAAATAGTCCAGTCCCTAATGCTCCAAGTAGCAGGTTGAATGGTGACCCCTAAAAGAGATGTCAGCTCCCTGGAATCTGCAAATGTGAACTTTGAAAAAAGGGACTTTGTGGATGGAATTGTTGAAGATAATGAGTCCTTTGGGAGATCATCCTGAATTACTCAAGTGGGCCCCAAATCCAATGACAAGTGTTCTTACAAAAGACATATAACCCAATCAATAAATGGGCAACAGAACTAAACAGACACCTCTCAAAAGAAGAAATATGAATAGTCAACAAACATAAAAAAATATGTTCAACATCTCTAGCAATTAGAGAAATGCAAATTAAAAATGCATTGAGGCTTCGTCTCACTCCTGTTAGAATGGCAATTACCAAAAACATAAGCAATGATTAATATTAATATAATAATATTATCAATAATATTAATATTGGCAAGGATGTGGGGAAGAGGGTACACTCTGCAAATTAGTGTGACCTCTCTGGAAAGCAGTATGGTGACCCCTCAAAAAAACTAGGAATTGATCCACCATTTGACCTAGTTATCCCACTCTTTGGTATATAGCCAAAGGATTTAAAATCAGCATATTCAGTGACACAGTCACGTCAATGTTTATAGAAACGCAATTCACAATAGCTAAGCTATGGAATCAACCTAGGTGCCCCTCAACAGATGAATGGGTAAAGAAATTGTGGCATATATACACAGTGGAATATTACTGAGCCATAAAGAAGAATGATTTTGATATTTGCTGATGAATTTCAGGATCTGGAGACTGTCATGCTGAGTGAAATAAGCCAATCCCCCAAACCAAAGGTGGAATTTATTCTCTGATATGTAGAAGCTAACCCGTGATAAGAGTTGGGGTGGGGAGAATAGAAGTTTAGAGCATTAGTGAAAGGAGAAGGTAGGGGTTTGGGGGATAGGAATAGGAAACACAGTAGAAAGAATCTGACATAACTTTCCTGTGGACGTTTATGAGTACACCACAGTGAATCCCACCATTGGGACCCTGATTAAGATGTATTTCATGCAGGTATAATTTTATCAAAATGGACAGTCCTCTGTCCTATATAACTGAACCAATTAAAAAATCTACTGTTCCCTCCCCACATAAAGATACCCAGGAGAGATGGGGGGGTGAGAGAGAGAGAAGAGGAGGAATGTGATGACAGGGACAGAGACTGACAGGACTCTAGGAAACACCAAGGATGCCACTCATGGGCAGCAGCTAGGAGAGAGGCGTAGGATGGGTTCTCCCCCAGAGCCTGTGGGGCAGCATGTCTCTGATGGATTCTTGTTTTTTTTTTTTTTTTACCTCCCGAACTGTGGAAAGATTAAGGTGTTGTTGTAAGCCACCCAGTTTCTGGTAACTTGTTCAGGAATGACAGGAAACTAATGTGACTAATACTGGTGATGGGGTTGGAGTTGGGGAGTGGCCCATAAGCCTAAGGAGATTCTCAAAGACATTTTTAGAAAAATCCTGTTTACAGGAACTTGTAGCTATGCTGTCGATGTGTTTTTTTCTTTCTATAGAAACTCTAATCCCTTTTTATAAATATGCCAGAGGAAAGAAAAAGCCCACCTCCATCCTATTTCCCTAAAAATTGAAAAATTATGGGCCAGGGGCATGCCTCCTCAACCCATATCAGAAGCTTTCTCCGTTCCCCCTAACTTTCCTACCACCCAGCAGCTCAGCTCAATGTAGAACGTGTGCATCTGTATCCTGAACCTAATTTTGCCCTCTGAAGCTCTCCGGACCTTGCTTCTCTGCACTGAGGGCAAGAGGAAAAACATAACCCAGGAAAAGTTGTCCATTTCTTATTCTATTATCTGTCCTACCAAAATGGAAACACTCTGAATCTTATCTCCGCCGTAACAAACTCTTGGGTCACAGGAAGCCAACTAGCTCCAAGAGATCACCTTCCTCAGTGGTGCCTCTCAGAGGCCCCGAAACATCCATTTTTAAGTCAGCCGGCACATGAGATAAATATTTTAAGGACCATTTTATTTTCACCCAGGCTAAGGGACAATTTAGAAACGTTCTATTCTAAGTACAGAGCGTGAAGAGAAACGCGTGGCAAGGTTGTGGATGCCACGGTTTTGAAGCCAGCCTGCCAGTCATCATGATTGAAACATAACCCCAGTGGCTTCCACGAGTGCAATAAAATGCTTCGCAAAAGGTTGCAGAATCGCAGGATGTAATAAAGTCTGCTTAGCTTCATTTCCAATGCCGCGGAGTCCTAGAGAACGAGGCCCATTTCCTTATGCCTTGGGATTTGTTTGAGTTACTTTCATGCCTGGAAATGACAGAACATAAAAACAGACATTTAGTTAGAACCAGTAGCATTTTTTTTTTTTTTGAGTCACGGCAATAAACAAAATATAAGTTTGTTTACTGCTAATCGGTTGGATTGCCGTTAACATTTTATGAGAGGTCATATTTATGTGGCACATTCCATGAAATAGATAGATTCCAGCCCTGCTGATGCCTAGACTGGCTGGGTCCCCACGTTTTCTGTGTCCTCTGCCCACAGTCTATGCCTTCAAGGTCAGCAGCATGGTGCTTGAAGAATCTGTGTTGTTGATAAAAAGCTTATATACAAATGAAACCAATCCAGACCTATGTTTGTTATTGGGTAAGAATGGGTTCTCCAGCAGCCATTGTCAGAATTACTTGCTGAGCTTGTTAAAAACAGAACCCTGTGCCCCACATCCTGACTTAGCAGTTCTGGGGAGAGGCCCAGAAATCTGTTTTGTTTCCTTTTTTTGGTACTGGGGATGGAACCCAGGGGCTCTCAACCACTGAGACACATCCCCAGACATTTTTCATATTTTATTGAGAGACAGAGCGCCTCATTAAATTGCTGAGTCTGGCTTTGAACTTGCTATCCTCCTGCCTCAGCCTCCCAAGCCACTGGGATTACAGGTGTGCACCAGTGCACCCAGCAGGAATCTGTGTTTTTAAACAATCTCTTCAGGGGAGTCTGGGGAGCTTAGCCCAGGGGCTTGGGGAATTATGGAACCTCCACACTGCAAGCAGAATCAGCTCTGCCTCAAGGCCAAGCAGTGTATCCTTATGCATATAGGCCAGGCCTACAATAATTTCTACTCACAAAGTTAAAAAGTGAGGGTAATATCCTTTCATTTTGCAAGAAAATCAGACAATTTCTTGGTGGTATGATGGTGTAGTGGCCCACACCATTTCATAGCTCCAAACCCACCTCTCTGTTGCAGCCTTAACTTCTAGGCCTCTATTACTGGGCACAGTAGGTTCTGCCCCTGCTTGCCTCCTAGCTCACAGTGGAGTAATTACAAAAATAAATAAATAAATAAAGTAGGAGTGAGGAGAAAGATGAAGACATTATGGGTTATATTTCATAAAATTGGGGGAAGATTGAAAGAAAAGGCACTAGGAGAATTTTGGAGCATCTACCATGTGTGTGACAAATGAAGAGATTTTTGAGAAATATTGTTGAGAAGCACAAGTAGATTTCCTCTTCAGAGTTTCCAAGGGATTTCAGAAAATATTTAAATTGCTTTTCACATATTGCCTGCCATTTGTGGCTTGGTGTGCAGCACTACAGCCACGGATCTGAGAAGCTGTGGTGTGAAGACCCTGCTTGCTTCAAGGGTGTAGCTCACGGACATCCTCAACCTGGGCCCACTCAGATCCACCTTGGGGAGGACATGCACCTCTAGTACATGGAGAAAGAGCCCAGTGAGCCCAGCATTAGGCTTTTCCTACAATGTAGTAACAGTGAAGAGCAGGCCATCTCTTTGAATTGCACCTAGTCCATTTGGGAATCTAGAACATAGATGCTGGGTCATGTCTGCTTCTGAACCACACTAGGAAGGTCTTTTCTGAGCTCAGGATGTCCTCCTTTGAGGCCTGCTGGTAGCCGTAGTGAGAAGTGGACCGTGGACTGTATGTAGCAGCCAGTTGGCCCCTCTGGGAGAAGGGGACCTGTCTTACTCCCATTTGACAGTAGGATCATCCCCTATTGTGCCCAGTGCCACCCATCTTGCCTGGAGATACAGGTCATCTTCCCATCATTCATCATTGCCCTTGTCCTTGAACAATATTGACTTTGAGTCAGAGGCGCCTGAACAGGACTGAAAATGGATGTGCCCTTTCTATCCTTTCTATCTGCCTTGCCTGTCTACAGCAGATTTATGTCGTTCAACACAGCTTTTATGTCCAAATGTCTGCCTAGCTCCTTAGAGCTCTGCCTGTGCAGTTTTGTTTGCCCATCTGGCCTGGAGGCTCATGAGAAACACAGTCTTCCTTTCATGCCAGAGCACACCGGAAGAATGTGTTGTGCTTTGGGTGAAAAGGTGAGAGTGTGAAGTCCAGGCATCTCACTTCCTAGCTGGTCATCCCTAGACAGGGTGAATGCATCTCGCAGGTGCTTTAGAGAGTTCAGCGACACAAGCGCTCACAGCCATGCCTGGGGCATGATAACGTCCCTGTGTGTTGGCGTCTCTGGTTGTCATTATCATTATTTCTTCCAGTGTCATAGCAAGAGAAGACTTAGGACTTGGTTACACAGGGAATTATTCTGCAGCAGGGCCATGTGCTCACCTACTAGTTTGATTTCTTACACAAGGTGCCCTTCTAAATATCTGTAGTTTCCTTTAATATCAGAGTTAAAATTGAAGGGGTGCTAAATTGAAAAGACTAACATTAAACAGAGACATGAGATGGGAGGGAAAGGGAGAGAAAAGGGAAATTGCATGGAAATGAAGGGAGACCCTCATTGCTATACAAAATTTCATATAAGAGGTTGTGAGGGGAATGGG